CAACTTAAAGTGATAGATTGATAAGCAAGAACGTATTTTATTGAACTAGCTTTTAATATTATTCATCCGAGTTATGTGAACATTTTAAGTTTTAAGTATATAGTTTATTCTTAATATTTTATTTTAAAAAATTCCATCCTTAACTATTGGTTTTTATTGTTATCATTATCAAATTATTGTTGTGATTATTTTTATCATTATATTTGTACCGTAAAGTTTAAGATAAAATGAAAAGTACTGTTAACAAAATTTTATTTCAAATAAATGTGGGTATGAATCCCACGAAAGAGAAAAAAAAAGAATACTAGAGCCTGCATCAAATTTATATCATGATGTGATGCTTGTGATAAGCTGGCAGCATTTTAAAGTGAAAATACAGAATGCTTCACAATGTCATCATCAATAATACCTCTCGTCTTGCGATATGACGCTTTCCATTATTTTATGCCATTTGCTTTCCATTATTTTATGCCATTTGCTTTCCACTATTTTATGCCATTTGCTTTCCACTATTTTATGGCATTTGCTTCTCTTATAAGCAAGATGATTTTGTGTTTTGTTTTGTTCTAATTCCTTTTGAAATTTGCGGCCTTCCTCTTGGTTATCTTACCATTCTATTTACCTGCATACTTAATATTCCAACTTCTCCATGAGTAATCTTATAATAACACTTATGATCACAACTTAATGATACACATTATTTGTTTCACCTAAACATGTCATAACTGACAATCAAAAAGCAGACTACTTCATACTAATAATGATTTGATATTTATATCTAGTAAAATGCTATTGCTTACTGCAACTGCTGTCGATTGGATAGTGGAACTTGCAACTGCTGTCGATTTGCTAGTGGAACTTGCAACTGCTGTCGATTTGCTAGTGGAACTGTCTCGTGCAGCTTTCCCTTATTCAAGTCTTCCCATCTGCAGTAGTTCACTGGCTTTCTGAACTTATTAAACCCAGCAGTGTAATAGACAGGAGGATCATCCCGCTCAAAATTTAACGCGGTGCAGTACACGTTAGGATTGTAGTCAGGGGTTGGAAGACATCTTTCGTTCCAGCTCATCTTTTTTCTTGTTACTCTCGATCCCGGCAAGATATTAACTAGCGCCACTTGCTTGATTTTCATTGCAAGTTATCATTAAAAATCAATTTCTTATCATAAAATCTTTATTTACGTTTATTGAATCAAATTCGGTGATTTTATCTTATGGATTAGGCCCCAGAGAAAGCTTAACATTAACCAGATTAAGTTTTGTTAAATTACCAGTATATCAATGTTCTTGAACCCTGTAACAAACTTATCTTAAATCTCTTTATGGAAATCTTGAGTAAATATTGGTGAAACACTTCTCCAAGTAGATTAGGGATAAGGGAAAAAATTGATAAAATTTCTAAAATATGGGGTTTTTAAAATAACTTTAGAATCTATGAAGGGTGTTTAACATTTCATCCTCTACTAAAGTATGTTTTGTAAATATGTTTAAAAGAAATTTTAAGATTATGAATTTTTCTTAAATCAAACAAAGAAAAAACTTACATGTCGGAAAAGTAACGAAAGTTTTGGAAACTTTAATACACCTCAGAGACCATTAAAAGTTGTATATCTTATAAATGTGATTATTCAATTTAATTATTTATATATTGGTGTAGGAATGATTCCTTTAAAACTGGATTTTATATTTGATAACCATAAGTTTAAAGTTAAATTATTTTCCAGTATTCAAACGACCTGCAGATATTATAAGTTTTTATTGGAGAATAATGAAAATGTTGTCTTGAGGCAATACAACTGTAGAACAAAGGTGCACAATAGGAGCACGTACCTTTATTCTCAAAAGACAACTTTCCTGATATCTAATTTATCCTCATTTCAATGAAAAGAGTTTGTAAGAACTTATTTATTATGGAGAATGCTAATCAAACGGATATTAATGAGAATGCTAGGATTACCGATCGATTTAAACATTAATGCTGATGTGAAAACGATTAAACTTGAATAGCTTAAACCTCACCAGAGACACTTTCCCCCTGAATCTCAGTACCAGGGATTAAGTACTGTTTTTTCAAACTATTACTTCAATCATAAAATAATTGAATTTGGAGTAAAACAAAATTTTGCTAAAAATGGACTATGTCTCCCTCTACTAAAAAAAATTTAATTGCAAAATAACTTTAATAATAACAAATTTATTATTATTATCAAAATTTAAAAAAAAAATAAATATCAAAAGAAATAAATATAAAAGTAAATTGAGATATTTTTTAATGCTGGCATACAGCAATTATACCTTTAAAATGATCAACTGAATTTGATTGGATTTTCAACAAAATAATTTGGTGTTTTATAATTTAACTTCTATAATTTATTTTTTTAATGGTTTTAAAGTCAAAATGTTGCCTTTGCAATCTTTTAGCTTAATGTAAATCTGTTGTTAAGTGGGACGGTGGATAAACGAAAATTTGGTTTGTTCTTGTGTGGGTTAGTTGTTAGTTGTTAGTTTTGCTTTGTTTATGTTTATTTTTGCTCTAAAGGGAAAGGAATTTAAATGAAAATAGGTTAATTTCTCGTTGGTTGCTTTGTGTGGGGAGTTAAGTAAGGGGTAAATGGGTGGGGTTTATTTTTAATTCCTGTTGCTCTTTGTTAAGTTGTCTTTTGTTTTAGTGATTTTGTATATTTTGTTTTATTTTCTTGGACGTACCTCCCTTTGGAAGAGTGCCACTGATTTAAAAGTGTATGTTCCGAATAAATAAATAAATAAATAAATTATTATTCAAATTTTATTGAAAAATATTATTCAATAGAAAAATCACTCCAAGAGTCTTTTTATTTGAATGGATTTAATAACACAACGTGAACAACATCAGTAGGCGTAGCTTAAATAAACAAAGTTCTTGGCAAAGAAAGAATTAGTATTACAAACCATGTTCAATGAAGTGTATTGTATAGTAAGAGTCAATCATGCTGAATCATCTTGTATAGGCCTACCAATAGTTACCAATAATTTGCCTGTGTATTATGGGCAAAAAGTAAACACCGCTGAAATTGGGTGAACTTTATAGTCTAATGTAGAGTAGGTATGTGATATTCAAACCTGTCTATATATACTGTAGCCATATATTTAGAAAGCCTTGACACATAATTTGTAACTCATTGTAAAGACATTAAAAACAATATACATCCAAGGATGCTGTAATAGTATATTTAGTGCCTTTCTGATCTTTACACTCTACTAAATTGTAAGCCTATGCTTTACAGATCATAACTATACAACATTGACATGCTACTGCCATATTATGCTGTGCATAGGATTTATCTTGGTTTCAAACTCTGATGTCAAAATGTTCATTCTCCCAACAACTCTCTTTAGTCTCATAATGTAAGTTTAGGTCTATAGCTTATCCAGTACTTTATTGGAGCATGGAGGAAATATTCTGTGGGAACTACAATTAGGAACAACTAAAATAAATAATATTAATTACTTAATTTAAAAAAATATGACTGGTCAAGTACAGGGATTTGGCATTACATGACCTATCAAGGTATCTGAGAATGACCTTACATTACTTTATTGTTTTATTTAGGTAAACTTGAAACAAAGTGATTAAACAAATAAACCTAAACAGTAGTAATTAATAATGCCTTTAAACAGTATTTAAAATGCCTTCATTCTTTTATAACGAGATTAAGAGGGCTTTGACCTAGACCTTTTTAGTAAATGAATTTCATATGCCTCTAAGATCGGAGTTTAGTTGCTTAAATTTGTACTAAAAACATAAAATATCAATAAATAATAAGTGTACTGTACTTGAGTGAACCTGTAGCATACTGTGGCTTGTATTGAGCTGGACTTCGGAGATTACCTTTACCAGGATTGTATTCATACCCTTTGATAAGATGACAAGTACCCTAACAATTTTACAACGTATCTCTTAATTGCAGCCGGGGTTCCAAGTTGGAAGAAGTCGCTTCCCGGGAGATCTGGTTAAATGAGCTTTCTTAACGCATTTTAAAAATATATTCTGTTGAGCATTGTGATACCCATCAGCACCGATTTTCCATGAGACAGTCGATAACAAAAACATTCAAATATTATAAATTTGTGGGAGATGAGTTATTTTCCGGGGGATTCTTGCTTGCTTGCAGGAGTGAATGTGACCGTCCAGATTTTCGGGACATTCTCACAACCTTGGGAGTCTTGGGACCCATGGATTTACATCCGTTTGATTAGTTGGTTTGATTGATTTTCACTGTCATTTTAATAATAATGCCGATATTTTCAATGACCTACATTTAACACCATCATTTGATTATTCATCATGACTAACTGAACTTGGGATTTAGGTCTAAGTGCAGAGTGAACAAATCACTTTCACTGACTAATATTATGAGAACTGCAAATCTACAGTTAATTGCTGGAAAATAGTATAAAAATATGATGTTTCAGTTCAGGGGTTCTCAACTGGCGGCCCACAAGTGCATGTTATGCGGCCTTATAAATTCATTCAATGAACAATTTTGGTCCCTATTGCAATATACTCAGATACTCAGACACTTTATTTCGTCTATACAATCGTATAGAATTTTTTTTTCCGCCAGCATTAAAAACTACATACAACGAATCAACACAATACATTAGTAATAAATAGGTCAGCTTAAAAGACAATTAAGAAGGAAATAAAAACTTACTACCCACACCCATCCCCAACCACCCCCATCACCGTGCCACCCTGAACCCCTATTTTAGTTCATGTACTGATGGAGTCAAATGCCTTAAATTAATAGTCAATATATTTTTAATAAAAAATTATTAATAAAAAAAATTCAGTCTTTTAACATCCTACTATAACTACCCTATATACGATCTGGTTTAGAGAAAGAAACTGGGTAAAGTGCTTGCCGGACACAAGCCTTGGTCAAATTGAATCTCTAAATCCTGATCTTTCAACTAGAAGCACAAACTATACCACTGTGGCACATGGGTCTTTCAACCTACCTTGGATTATTTTGCTTCACACTTGGTTTTAACTGCTGCTGTGTCAGTGGTACTGGTATCTTTGTGCCGGTAAAGCTTGAAAAACCAGAGTCAAGTCGATCGAGTTGCATCATTTGTTGGTCGGCTTCAGGCTGTGAGAATTGTGAGCACCCACTGTCACGAGCATCATCGTATGTTTCAGTTGGGGCGTTGCTTGCTGGTTGTACGTGGCCGTTATTGGAAGCTATAATCGTCTCTACCATAGAGGGGCTTGGTAATTCTTCATAGTGATGGTTTGGGTCATGAGCTTTGTTGGGGTATACGGGTGGAGGCATGTAAGTTGGTAGTGGGGCTGCAAAAAAAAATTGAACATCATTAGCGCTGCTCATAAGTAATTCATCAGAATCTTTGCCGCTTGCTTGAAGTATGGTATATTTCACGGTTATCCTAGCGTCTTCATTAACATGAGTTAATTAAATTTTTATAAAATATAATTTATATGACTTTCACTTGAAAATCAAATTATAAATAAATTAATAGACATATTATTATTCTTATTACATTTATACAATCTATGTATCAAATGTTCACAGATTGTCTATTTAATCAGAAATCATCTGTAGTTTTTTTTTATTTACTTAATATGTATTATAGATCACACCACGAACAATATTACACACACACAGCAGTAGTGAATGGCAACATAATTAACATAATTGTTTAAATAGTCTTATGATGACATTTGACTTGTTCCATATGGCAAGACATGACGTTTGAAACCACGCCACATTGCATTAACAATGCTTACATCAATACCATGACAATATGACATGTTATAAGCACTACAAACAACAGCTGCCATGCTAAAAGATGTACTAAATAATATACATGACTGTGTTTTACTTCACAGCATAATACCCACAAAAATAGTAGCAGCAATAAAGATACAGTACGTCATGTATTGAATTTCTAGTATGTTAACGATGTATTGTCCCTGAAAAATGGCAAGGAAAGAATCATAAAAAAAACCCCAATTTTTAAATGTAACTTGCTCATTTTAAAATAACATACAAATTGTCAACTGGAACTTAGAAATTAATTTATAAAAAAATGTTTTATTTAAATACACTAATTTCTATTCTCCAACTTATCATTTTTATGTTACTTCTTCAAATGACCAAGTTATTTTAAATTCATCTCTATGATTTTTTCTTTTTTTTTTTTATAGACAATACATCTTTTAAATTTAAAATTTTATACTATATTGCAGACTTGCAGTACCACAAAACGTTCCATCTTTCAGTCCTTGGCTTTTACTGTGCTAAATAGATTTACATTCCTGGTGCCTGGATTTACTTTAAGTAGAAATAAATTTACAAAAGTGCATTACACAAAATAGGTAAAAGTATCTGAGCTGATAAACCTTATTAAAGGGATTATTATGCATAGTTATAAAAATCTTTGAAATAGGATTAAAGTGTACCATTCCTCTTGAAATTTTTCAGAAATACTTTTGGTTATATTTCAGATTCTGTCTGTGCTTCAAATAAAAAAAAAGAAGAAAATTAAATAATTGAAATTCCTAATTTATTTAATTGAAAATTGTAATAGAAACAATATTTTCCTTGGAAAATTTAATTAGACACCTGCCTTTCCTAAATTTTATTTGTACTCTTATATTGTCTAGTAAACAATTTAAAGGTAAAAAAAATTATATTATTCCATTAAAAAGGAGCTATTTAATAATCTAGGTCTATGTGCCATTTGAAATTGGACAAAGTACAGTATAATTTATCTCATGGGATAATTTATGCACACAAATTTCATGAAGATAAGGAATGAAAAAATATCCGCAAATTTTAAAAAGATATCCTTCCTGGGCTGACGACTTGTAAGTGGACATGTACCAAAATTATATTTAATGAAAATACAAGAGGCCTAAGTTGTCTACTAGTATAATCCAAGTAAGTTGGCATGCAGTCAACGTTGTAAATGAATGCGAAAGAAAATATTGAAAGAAGTACAAAACGACTATTAAGTTATCTAAGAGCACACTATTAGTAAGTTGGCATATGGGGTCAGCGTTAACAGAAAATAAGAAAGATTGGTTAAATCCTGATGTATTCAACAGACAACTACCATAATGCAGAAAAAAATCATCTTCACGGATATATTTATTATTTAAGTACCATATGTTACATGAAATGCTATCATTTCTTAAGGTCGATTGTGGTGCCATATTGTAATGACAGTTCTCAATTGTTAACAGGTACTGGGAATATCATATCTTGGGACAAGCATAATCATATATTTTCACATACTGACCTATATTTTATGATGCTTTAAATTGGTTAATATATGAATACAGTAAAATACATTACTGACAGATAAACATTCCAGGTAAAAGACATGTGTGTAAAAAACAAATTCAATTCCAGATTTTAAGATTAATTTATTTTCTGATATCTATTAATGTAGAAAACCTTTCAAAAATGCAACCACCTATTAATATATTGCGCTACCAGTTTGCCTATTGTAACCTTGTAGAATATTAAAATGATAGTTATATAAATATCAAAAAGGTAGAGCAGTTAAGCCCTTGACTAAATATTGTGATATCAACTTCTAATAATTAAATGACTCAACTGGTTGATACAAGTTGCTTAATCTCATTCATCTTTTTCCTCTCGTCAGGTCAATGCCTATATATGAAAATTGTCATATATAAGGTAAACTAAGTTCATAATAATCGTAGTAGCCTACAACCAAGGTTTTAGTGCACTTCATAAATTATATAATAACTTCCAGCCTTGTGTGGTATAAATTATGCAGGCAGAAAACCATGTGGATATTTCATGAACTTGTTAATAAATAATTATTATGTTATTTGTTTAGATGCTGGTTGAATAAATGATAGAATTGGGATTAAAATAATATGATAAATGATTATCTGGCTCAAAAAAATTAATAAAATACTACACCTGCCAGTATTTCTAACTTGTCCTTCTCAAAATAGTTTTTGTATTGTTTTGTTTATATTATTAATAGAATTGTAGGAAAATTAGCAAGGACAATTTCTACATTAATAAACTTGACCATACATTTCCATACTTGTAAAAAATGCTGCAACTTGGATGACTTGCATTTAATATTTCATAAATTTAACATTTCTTCTATTCTTGTTTTAGTGAATGCCGAAGCATCCACTGAATACATTATACAATATATTTTTTATATAATTGTATTGCATCCTGAATTCAATATTCAAAAAACTTTCCTGTTTAATATGAACATTTCAAAATAGATTTCAGTGGTCCACAAGTAAAACTGTTGCTAGCATTATTATTATTACTACTAAGAAAAACATAAACTTTGGTTAAACGCTATGGTTAAAATTAACAAATACAACAATTTTAGGCCTACTCAAGGCTTGATTAAAGAAAGACCACCCATGATTGTCATCTCCTAAACTATAAAGCTAGCTATATACTACTACTAGAACTAAACAGAACACACATTTCCACAGGCAAATGGTAGGAGGTATGAGGTATCTTATTGTTTGGTATAATGGTATAAATATTTGGTAGGCCTATGTTTATATATCACAACTAATCACTTACCATACTCAGTTGGACTTTTCCTGTCACTCTGGTTACCATGTTGATTATGGTGGAACATAGAGCCAGGAGACGACATGTTCTTATAAAATTGGCAGTGATATAAGCTACCTATGAAGCTACCAAGGCAATCACACAACTGATTCCAACAGAACCTTAGCACCTTCTTCACACCTGACTAAGTAGATAAATATGCCACTATCAAGCCCCCTATACTAAACACGCCTTGGTATGGTTTGATCATAGACCTATTAATAAGGTCCATGGTTTGATTATAGCCTGCTAGCAATTAGCCAATCAGAAGTAAGTATATGGCGGGAGACTATTCATACCCTTCATTCATCCTGTCTTTAGAGCTTTGTCATAGTATTAATGCAGGCTATGCACCACTGACCAAGGTAAACAGTGTTAAACTTATTTCTTTTTTTTACAACTAAATTCTCTAGAGTTTCTACTTCTATTCTCAGCTTTACAAACTGTGACGTTTTTGCATAACGTGTAAACCACAGGAATTTCAGATAAAAAGTGCATAAAGAGAGCATATGTTTGTACAGTGTTGAGGATATTAATGAGGAGACAAATAATTCATTTGCTAAGGTTTTATTATTATTATTTCTAGATTTAGTTTAAAAAAAACAAACAAACTGGTTTAAGTATGCCTAATAGTTTATGAAATTTTGTTGAGTAATTTAAGCTCCATGGTTGAATAAACCAATATTAAATACAGTAAGATAGAAAACAAAAAGTGATTCTTTATATCCAATTAAAACTTAGTCTTACATAAATTTAAATACAGTATAATTTAATTACATTAATTTCTAAACAAGAGCCTAATGATTATAGGCATGATGATGTAAAATAAAACTAGTAATTTAGATTAATATGGAGGAGGAAATATATATAGCTCAGCCTCCACTTTGAAAGACAAGAATTAATAATTTATTACATTTTCAGAAAATCAAATAAATACTGGCATCATGCCAAATTTCCACTGATGATTAAATATCCTCAAAAATTTCCATTGACCTGATTGGCTGGTTAGAACCATTAACATAAATTCATTCACAAAGCATTTTTACTACGCACAATATCCGTTTCACAATACAATACTACACGTTGATGAATGAAAAAGGAAATAATAGATTAGCATTTCCTGTTGTATGCCATGAATAATAAATTTGCATATTTACTACAGTATTCTAATATGAAATGTGTTTAGTGTTTTTTTTCAAAATTATGATATAATTTTGTCCATGATATATCAAAGATATCATGGACATAGATTATTTCTTTTAGAAACAAATATATCACCTAATAGAAACTGAAAGCGATAGATAAAATATTATACATTTATCAGTAAAGTTTGGGACACTTTTTCATAGATAGATCAAAAGATAATGATAAAGTAATACTTATTGCTTTCCATAGAAAATATACACAAATTTAAAAGAAAACATGAATGTGAGAAAAAAAAAAACATTTAAAATATATCAATATCTATAATTGCTACGAAGCAGCCAATTCATATTCTTGACAGCAATTTGACCTCTGAAAGGTCATTGTTTGTCAAAAAAAACAAGGGCCTAAGACGACTGAAAAGTGGAGTTTCCTTCTTTCGTTCTGCCGGGCAAAATCAATTACTTTAGGCGACGTTTGTAGACTTTGTAACCTACTCGTACCAACGTCTGCATGTCGTGCTAGCCTTATCCTACTCTAGGCCTAGACTAGCTAGGAT